ACCCACCTGCAAGCATTTCCTTTCGGATAAAAAAAGAATTATCCAAATCGGTCCACTAGCGGCGGAGTTATGCCGTAACACACATAAAAATAAAAAATATACCGTCGAATTGAATACCTCCTTCTTTTGGGAAGTCGGTCAAAAATCAAACTCACGACACGACAAAGACGTATTGAAAGTTTATTTAGTTTTCTAACTAGGTACAAACTTAAAATCATGTTTATTTGATACAAAACGTGTATAAAAAGCTATTAAATAACACATCAGTCAAATCGGGTCAAGATTTTTTTAAAAGCTCTCCAAGTGCTACCGAAGTCCGCGTCGATACAGCGGACAAAAAATATAACTTCAATAGACTAGCACATCTACACAGAATTTTAATATAACTTATTATCTGTACATTTTAATGTCCCCTTTAAATTAACATTAAATGTACATATAATAGATAAGTTATTTATTAATACGGATACTACTTCATTTAAAGAATTTAATTTGCACAACTATATCCATGTTAGTTATTGTACATTGCTACTTGTATACAATTTAATGGACTTTATACGTGACCAACTTATTGTTATGCACCATATCCTAACAAGCTTTAAGCTTTACTAGTATTGTTTAAAGTTATTACAACAATTTATAATGTTAATGACAACCGAACGGTGAAGCTTTTGCTAAAGCCGCTTTTCGCAAAAAACTTCAATAGTACGTTAATGAGAGATTGAGAAAAAAGTGAAATTAGTATGAATGGGAAAGGTTCTTGTAGTTGTAGTAAGTCTGCGAGTAGCTGGAGCGAGCCCCCGCCGCCCGCTGCCCGCCCCCGGACCCGCAGCCCCCGAATCATAATAAATCCGAACCGATAAGTAGTCGGGCGGATCGTCGGCGCGGCGCGATCAAAGCGGAGGGAGGACATCAAAGGTGCCGCCGGCGCACCAGCTTCGTTTCCACCACAGGCCGTCACGTGTGATAGGCCCTTTGTGCAGTGACGTTTTAATTAATTGCTTTTTAATTTTGAATGACATAATGTATGACAGCGCGTGACGAAGGTGTGCTCATTGTTAATACTATACGAATTTTTATTTGTCGACTTCAACGATTTGATCGTTTTACAACTGCAAAATTGAACTCTTTTTTTAACTTTTCACTTACATCGCAAGTTACTTTCTTGTGTTTTAGTCTCGAACAAATAAGAGTATAAGGACAGTAATAGAGTCCGGATATAACATGTACAAGAGTCAGAACACGCTGTATATAGATCGTAAGCGCACAATTATATAATATCTGGACCATGGTTAAGATGATACAGGATGGGTTATGCAAGATGTTATGGGACAGATTACAGTTTTGTATAGAATTTGGAACATTTGCCAAGTTTATTAATATCAAAGGGTTAAGGAGAAGATTAACATTTCTAAGATTATGAACACGAAAATAGTTGATTTATTTTTATTGTGTTGAAAAAGATTAATAAAAGAATATTTCTGATAGTTTTGTTTCCCCTAAACTTTTACTAATAAGAATTGCCAGGAATGTACGTACCGTTTTATTTTTTTTTTTATTTTTAATTACGTTTAACCAAAACATTCCGTGCGCAATCGACGGAGAATTGAATGCAATTAAAAATCAACTCGTTTGCTATTAAACATTCTGTAGTTGCTGCACACACGTTACCACACTACAATGTAACTAACGAGAAACATGATAAAAGTGTTACAAACAAAAATTAGAATTTGGAACAATTTAATATTGACTTAAAAGATACAAAAGTTTCTTTGCATCCTAAAGATATGTGATAGCATATTTCGCATGTTGAAAACTGACAGTTATTTCTCTAATTCTACACGTACACGTACAAGTGTGGTAAAACTGGAAGCCCTCGGTAAATCATAATAGTAAGCTAAAGGTAAGTAATATTACATACTTCTGAGACTTTATATAGCCAATTTATTTTTCCGATTTCACGAAACTCGACTCGATAGCAATTCACAGTTAATTTATTTTTGATTTTATCTGACATAATTTATGAGTTAGCTCTGATTTATTGCCCTGAAATTTATTCAATAGATGTAACTTATTGATAACAAATAAATCGACAAGGATACATTCTGTATTAACATTCGTGTTTTTTTTTAATTACATTAAACGTTTTTAATTTTTCAATTAGAATATTCTACATGTAACGCGTAGAACGCTGGAGTCATAAACCAGAAAGTGTTAAGATTGAATGTGGATGGCTACAAATTTAGTAGAGTAAGACCGAAGAAAGTATGGATGGATTGTGTGAAAGAGGATATGCTTAAGAAAGGAGTGGAAACAGATATGGCGGCTGATAGAGATGTATGGAAGAGCAGCACATATTGTGCCGACCCTCCGTAAGGGATAAGGGCAAGTGGATGATGATTCTACATCATTCAATGCTCATTTATTATGCTCAATAAAATTCATCCAAATAACAAAATCTTCAATCAAATACATGCATCAAGGTTGTCAGTCTTCCAATGAGGGACATAAAACTTCTAATGTCATCCGCCCCGGCAGTCGGTAAATTTAACTTTTTAGCAAAAATTTAACTTTTGCTAAAAATTCGAACGGTTTCTTAAAGTAAGTTAAAACTAGCAGAAAAGCGTTATTAAAACCGACTTTAGTTATAACGAGCTGTTTCCGTGCGGCTTCATTCGCACGAAATTTTAAAAACTTTATTAAGCTTTTTTTTTCAAATGTCTAAATTACTGTTATCATAATAACATTGTTTCCTTAATGTTGGCAGCTTGTAGTTTATGGTCGCATACCCGCATGAACGTATTTTCCCAATTTATTCACCACCTAAGTTTAATAGCGTAAAAACATATAGCCTAAAGCATGACGTGGGTGTATGGATTTTTATTAAAAAAAAGAGTTATTCAAAAAAATAATCTGTAATTCCTGACATCTTACGCCACAAAGAAGTGTACGCTTTTATCATATTAGTATAGAAGTATAGATATACATAAATATGACATTTACAACAGTCGATATTTAAATATAGGTAACTGCGTAGTCAAGAAGTTATTACGGAATAATACGTTCGCCTGCTACATCTAGTGGCGGCTCATGTAATTAATTTGCCGTAAACAACAGCGAGAAGTCGACTTACATATAGCTACCGGCTACTACGCCTTACCGCATTTTGATTCACTGCTAATAAGATCACCATGAAATGTGATTTAATCTGGACATTCCATTTTTGCAAATAAAATGTATAAGTAATTATAAATGTGTAAGTAAATGTATGAGTAATAATATTACCTTCATACAAAATAGACAGTATCAAATGAATTAGACAGATTTGTATCAATTCTATCCAAGATGACTTGGTATAAGATATGTTAATTTGACACTATTCGTATAAATAAATAGACTTTTGTTGACACCTCAAGTCTTGTACACTCGTGAATATACAAACGTACTTGTACAATGTACACAAATATAAATAGAATTTGAACACAATATGATAACCTAAGATTTATTTCAGCTAATATATATAACGCGTGTCCCGAAATATAATAAGAACGCGTGGTAACTTCAAAATATATAAACAAAATATACACGACACTGTTTACACGTGTATAGGCATGATATAAGAGAATGTTATGATTTAAAATGCTTAAACATGCGAAAATTAAGTACTCCAGTTATAAAAAAGCATGCTCAAATCCCGCTCTTGTTACAAAATGGTATCGTTTAGCATGTAAAGGTGCTTTTCCACTAACTAAACCCATTTTTGAAACATATTGTTAATCTTCTGGTGAAAACAGACATAATTAGTTTCATTCTGTATTGTTAGCTTATAAAAATTAGGTAACAATTACTTTATAACCTTAAAATGAAAACAATGTTATTTATTATTTATCTTGAAAAATGAATAATTTATGACCAACTATAATAAATACCAATGAACAATCTGTTTTAACTCAACATAAAATATTAATATAGCCTATAGGAGGGAAAATTAAATCAACAGTTAAGCACTTATATTTTTATTGACAGTAATAAATAATGCACATTTCGATCTCTTGTAAAAATAACAAATTTACTTCTTTATAGCTAGTCAACTACACATTTTCAGTTATCAGAACAGGTAGAAACTAAGAACAGAGGGAATATTACGAAAATTCGCGAGGTAGTTACGATATATTTGTCATCGTCGACAAAAATTATATTAGCCATGTGTACTTTATGCCTGGTACTCTACAAATCCAATACAAATTTTGTCGATGAAGTTATAAAAACATTCTCACGATAATCGTGATACACCCTCTGAAGAGTTTGACTGCTTTTGTTGCTTACACGTCAGGTTCAACTGTTCAGTTAAAACTGAGCGTGTGTTTAACCGTGACATTTGAGTACCATAACACTTGAAACATTTAGGGCCTGTCCCACTACTGGCTGATAGGCTCATATAGCTTACAAATGACGTCACAGATAAGGAAACAAAATCCGATATTTCCATCACATTACACGTTGGATTGTTATCAGACAATTTACAATTTGGTGGGACAGACCCTGAGTTAAATGTATTACGTTGTATTAACTCACAGTAGAACAGATTCAAACCGAAACAAACATAAAAAGGCAAAAGAAAAACTTCATTATGCCACTTCGAAGTTTTTGAATTTATGTACTTTTTTATTAAAAATACAAAATAAAAAAGTATCTGATAAGGCACTTCTTTTCTATCACAGAACATAACTATAAGATATCTACAACTATGATAGTTTTTTTAATAAAAAACAGCAAGTTCTCACATCTTATTATTTTAGACATTAACAATTTTACAATAGAAAACATACAAAACATTCCCAAATACAGACTCCAGTCAATGCAATAAAATGCTGAAAGTTGCAGCATCAAAGAATCGCTTCAAAAATATTCTTTTAGGTCATTTTAAAGTAAATACATAATAGTAAATACAGTTATTGCATGATTTTAAAATATTATGCTAACTTAAAAATATTATATCGATTCAAACAATACAAGGATTGATTTTTTACTTTACTTTCAAATATTCCGCATTTTTATCTGTTTGTGTGTTTTAAATTACTTTTGAGAGTTTTGAGATTGAGTTTCTACAATACAAACTACCTCAATTATAATTAAAAATACACTAAATTAATCTTCATTTTTTTAATATCTTCAGGTTTATTTCTTGCTATTAACAGAACATATAAAGTCTTCATACATTCAGCGAACAAAGCTAATAGCGGACGTATCCAATCTCAATGTTAAAGTAAAAAATTTGTTTATTACTGTCATGAAGACGTTACAAAGTTTTTTTTAATTGAGATACATAATTCTTACAAAATTGTATGTGTATCATGTAAAAAATTAGGACAAATCTTTTAGCACCGTATTAGGAAACGTGCGTAATCCATACAAATAAAAGACTTGAAGATCAGTTCACATAATGCTATGAAAACGATAAACTGATTCGCAGATCAGATCTTATACCTGCATTTGCGTGATCTGCGAACTACAAATCATGCTCGCGGCTTAGTTGCTGAGCTGCAGCTCAATAGTTCAAATCTATGTGATGTGTGATTCAGAGCTGATTTACTTGTCTACGTACTAGTATTAGCCGAGTGAAAAGAACTGTTTGGCCGGCATCTTCTGTCTCTGCTTCTTTAGGAACTCTCTTGCTTGTTTATCACCTTGTCTAGATTCTAAAGCCTTGATGGCATCACCATCTAAAAAAAAAATTTACTGATAAAAATTTTTCAAGCTTCCATACTTATGTCTATACATATTCCTGATTTACTTTAGAAATGTGCTTTTTTAAGTGTTTACAAATACAATTATTAGAATACGGATTCCGTGTAGATTCTAAATGCACCTTTCGACTACTGTGATGAAATACATCGTAGCAAAAAAGTGGGTAATGACTAACAATATGCGCGTAGCCAAGTTTGGCAGGATTGCCTACAGTATAGCCTTGGACGGTTACGTTATGTAGCTTTAACTGATTTCAATAATCTAAATTAAATTATGTTTACGTTTCAAAAGTGCCAATAATTGAATATAAAAATATTTCATCGTCAAATCATCTATCTTTTTTAAATATTGCACATAAAAATTGATACTCCTGATTTATTATTATTTTTATTCCGACACATTCATCATCGTCACCATCACCAGCTCACTACACGTCTCCAACAAGGGGCTCGGAGCCTACCGTAAGTTAGGATGACTAGGCCTTAGTCAACCACGCTGGCACACTGCGGGTGTACTTCACATATATCTTTGAATTTATTCGCCGATGCAACACGATTTTTTCCTTCACCGTAAGAACGTCGGGTAAATTTGTCCATAATGAAAATTCGAAAAATCGAATCACATTGGTATAGCGGGATTCGAACCCAAGATCTGTAGATTACAAGTCAAGTGCTTAAACCAATGAAGCACCGACGCTCTTTTCAGCACATTGTTCGTTATTTAATAAGTGATTTATAAAAAAAGTATTACCAATGTTATCCGGCTTGGTGAGGGGCAGGTGCTGCTGCGGTAAGGAGGAGATGGGCGCAGGCGTGTCGGGTACCTCGCCGAAGTGTAAGTAAGCTTCGCCAACGAACGCATTACTCATACTGAACATATCCTTGTCTTTTATCACAAGGTGCAGCAAACCGTCGGCCGTGCGGCGCTGCTCTGCTGACAGCGGACTGACAGACAAAAATTAAGCCACTCGGTAAAATTGCTTTCCATATGGCTTATAAGCCACTTAGAAATTGCGATTTTAATTATCTTTCAATGAAATTATGGAATCGGTGTCATCAGTTATATATACAATTAAAAAAATAGTAGATTTTGATAGAACTATCATCTTTTTAAAATGTAGAAATAACTAAAACAGCTAATAACAAAAAAAAAAACAAACTGTGCAAAAAAGAGTACGGACTAAGAGTCTGTAGAAGTTGATATAAAAAAAATGTTGAAATAATAACATTTTTCTGATACGAGGTTTACTACAAATGGTGATTTTACATTTCAAATCCTTTAGTACCATCTTGAAGGGCATTTCCCTTAGGGTCTTCAATCAATCGGCCCAAAGGGATTTTTTTCTTTATCTTGACCTACTATATTTTCAATTTGTCTTAGGGCCTGTCCCATAATTCTAGTAAATTGTCAGATAATCCAACGTATAAAATATGTGATGGAAATATTGGATATTGGTACTGTATCTGACAATGACGTCACTTTTAAGCTATCTGAGCTACTATCAGCCAGTGGTGGGACAGGCCCTAAATGTTACAAAGCAATCGTATTGCAACTTACATGAGGAACATTTCATCGTAGAGTGGAAACAGATTCTTGCTGTGCGTCTGTGTTTTCGGTTTCGTCACGTTGGCGAACGTATCTTCAGGTAGTAAAGTCACACGTACGTAGGAATCACATAGACCTAAAAAAAAACAATTAAAATTAAACATTACTCAAATTTCGTCTGTTTAATATTTGTTTAAAATTTAATATTAAAGAAAATTAACTAAAACCACTCAAGTTTTCAGTTAGGGTCTCTATGCTGCACTAATAATAACTGTATTTTAGGAGGCATGCCTTTTTTATTATATTATTCAAGCACCAATAATCTACAAAAACAAATCCTACAACAACAAAACTATAGAGAGTAAAATAGTTACATCTATACTAATATTATAAAAAGGAAAGATTTGTATTTTTGTATGCATAGGACTTAACTCAAAAACTACTGAGCCGATTGAAAAAAATCTTTCACTATTAGAAAGGTAATTTATTTGTAACATAGACTATATCTTTTATTATATTATTTTTTAATTTCACAGGGACGAAGTCGATAGCAACAGTTAGTTAAAAATAAAATAAAAAGTCACACAACTTACCATTTGAGTCAGTAGGCATAAGATTTCTGGCGTTCATAATTTCTATTTTTAAATTGTCTTCAATAAACTGCGCTCGCACTGTTAGTATGCCCATTTTGGGTTCAGTAATCGCTTGCTGTTCCTGCCACCTCTCTAAGTGATACTGGTGGATGAGTTCTCGTGTCTCCATGCTGTGGATCTTCAGTAAATATTCCACTCTCTTCAATGTCTCCGATGTGTACACTTCCTTATTATCTTGTCGGAAAGATCGGACCATTATCTTCAGACATTCGTGTAGATTTGAAAAGAAAGATGGCGGCCGACGTTTCTGAAAGTTAATTATAAATTAATATTATGCTATCGATTAAAGTTATGAATAGTGCTATATTGATGTTATATTGTTTGTAATGCTTTTAAATGTCTTTTTTATAATGTTTTTAACCGCTTGATAGGTTTTATGATATTTTCGTGACAATAAGAGTAATCTACAAAGATAAAACTCTGACGTAAAAATACACAATTATTTAAAGATGCGAAATCATTAATTTAAAAAAATACATTTGACCCAAAAATGCGTAAAAATCAACCTAACTTATGTAATGAATTAAATATGAATTTCATGCAAAAATCAGCAATCAGAAGATGCGAAATCAATGGACTCATGCTTTATAGTGAAATGTGTAACAAATTCATGTTTATATTTACGTGGTGAGTATTTGATCTATTAAAAATTGGATGAATAATTTCGTACGTGTATATTTATATAGTAAGCAGACATGTCAACAAATAGGAAGCAAACAATTAGCTACACGATCTATCAATACATCTCTATGTAACACAATCATATAATCTAGACATAACATATCAATAGAAAGTAACTAAAAACCCTACGGCAGCTCATCATCATCCTCCTCCTTATCGTACTCCCGTAGGGTCGGCACAACAGGTATTTGTTCTCTACATAACTCTATCATACGTCATCTGTCATCACTCCCTTTTTGATCATGTCACCTTTCACGCAATCCATCCATCTCTTTCTAGGTCTACCTCTAACGGTGTACCTCCACACTCATAACTAACGTTCTCCTTGTAACATGCGATTCATCCCTCCTCATAACATGTCCATACCATGCTAACCTTTTACTCCTTACCTTCTCTACCACTGGGACTACTTTGAAACTTCCTACAGCTCATTTTATTTAAAAAAAAACTAATAGCAATCCATAATACATCACCATAACGACAAAACACAATAACCTCTATTTTCTATCTGTCATATTTTTCTACTAACTTTCGCCCGCGACTCCGTTCGCGAGAAATAGAAGAATCAAAAGTGAGTAGTCTATGTGTTCTTCCAGACTACCCCTTGCATCTATACCAAATTTCATCAAAATCCGTTCAGCCGTTTAGGCTACAAACTCTAACAAACATCCATCCATCCATCTAAACTTTCGCAGTCACAATTTTAAGTAAGATTTAAATTACTCGAATAATTTAGTGACGATAACAAATCTAATGTTTCTAACAGCCATGCATTTTGTAACATGCCGTAGTATCTTTACTATTAAAAACAAACAACAGTTGTCTATGGCGTTTTCTGATTGTTATAAATAAATAATAAATAATAAAACACTATTTATTGACCAAAAAGAAAATTAAAGGAACATAACTTACAATTATTAATGAAATAAAAATGAAATAAATATAACGATTCATCATCATCAACTTGTCCTTATCCCTTATGGAGGGTCGGCACAGTATGTGCTGCTCTTCCATACATCTCCATCAGCCGTCATATCTGAATCCACTCCTTTCTTAAGCATATCCTCTTTGACACAATCCATCCATACTTTCTTCGGTCTTCCCCTACCTTTGTAGCCATCCACGTTCATTCTTAACACTTTCTGGTTTAAGTTCTCATCGTCGCATAACATATTTTTATGACGATTATTATTATAAATATTGCCACAAAATACTATTTTGTTGTATATAATGGCTGCCGCGGGTGTAGAACACAACAATTAGCATAACATGACACGTGTACACAAAGTGCTAGTACAAATGATTACCGCGTCCAAATGGGCGGCTGTTGACTTGGTCAAGCGTCTCGGGTCGATATAGCGAGTTATCTTTGCCCTTCGGTGCTATTAAAACAATAAATAAGCATTATTAATAAAAATAATAAAATGTGCTTCCAGATACCAGCGTGCGTAAATGCAACATTTATTACCCGAAATAATACAACGTACGGTGTTACTCTGTTTCTGCCGAAATATCTGCGCTTTAGAAAGCGGATACGCGTAGCAATGTCTACTTTCTGTTTCTACAAACATTGGAAAGTTTATATAAAGTTAGTTTTCAAGCTAGTATAGTGCTTTTCAAATATCTTGTAAGGTTTGCTAAAACTATGTTCTGCCGACAAGATATATGAAAATCTATACAAAATAGATCCAATGATGAATAAAATAAAAATTGTATATTACAGACTATGAACAATACAATGAGTCAAAATACTTTAGAATATAAATAAATAGATTTTTTTAAAATACATATTTCGTTTGATGAAAAACGAGTACATAGTTGGCGACGCTATCAAATTTCACCAACAACAGATAAAATAAAAAAAAATTACATACTTCATTAGATCTACTTAAAGTTATTTAAATTAGTAAAAAAAATGATTAAGTATGAAATATGATATAAAAATTAGTAATAAAATCAATTAATAATGTTTAAAATTGTATGAATGAAAAAACTAACCTCTAAATTGGCTTGTACTAGTTCATATAAGACTTCACCAAGTTGTTCCCATACTATATCCAATGTTCTGGAGAAGTTCTCATTGTTCAGATGCTGGTAGAGAGTGTCAAGGTTGGCCTCCAGGTATCGCAGCACTCGGTCCATGCTGGAGCAGTTCTGGTGCAGCAGTTCCGCTCCTTCTATCAGGAAACGTGTGATAGATGGCATCATCTGGAATGTGGAATAAAACAACTGTAACCAATTGTAACCGGATTTAACTGGATTCAACCAGTTTTAGCCTGTCTTCGTTTGTTCTTCCAGTTCCAAAGAGTAAATCTTAAAGTTCTTACCTTTTTCACCATAACTTCTAACAGCTCTACGATTTTGTTCTTAACCGTGTCTATTGCATTTTCTATTACATTTTGGAGTGTCTCCTTGCATCTGGAAATATTTGTGTTATTAATAAGTAATAAACTATCTGTTAAGGGGCGGGAAATCGAAACATTTCCATTTCGCAAGGTTATTATCGTGGTATCATAACTTATTCCTATTAGTAAGGAACTCCCTTATTGTTCAATTATAACCATATTACGAGAATATTAGGACAAATTTAATAAGATGGCAATCGAACAAGCGGCCACCTAAATCTGCCGAAATGGCGAAGCGTCCGCTCCCTTTGCAATTGCAAATGCGTTGCCTACCCTTAATCGACGGAGAAAACGCGCAAAAAGACATTTCCCTTTCCCATGCAACTTCTCCACCGTCAAATCCACTTGACAGTGGAGAACCACTCAAGAAAAGGAAAAGGCAAAGGGACTAATTAGGCTGTATGTTTGAAATGTTCACCTCTGCGCTTCCAAGGGGGACCTGGCTTCACACATGGTGTTGATGATGTCGTCCATGCCGAGCTCGTGCACGAAGGGGCGCAGGCTCTGACGCACGTAGTCGATGTTGTTGATGGCGAGGCACCACTGCGTCGTCACCTCGAAGCGCTCCTCCCGCGCCGTGCTCACGCGGCCCTCGCTCTCCACGCGCCCGCACATCTTGTCCGAGTAGAACACGCAACAACGGCAGATGTCCTGCAAATAGCGACGGGTGAAAGGATATTTACAATTGATACATATACGTATACCAATATGGAGGCGGCCATCTAGAATTGATTTATATACTAATATAATAAAGCGCATACCAACCCGCAGTGGGCCAGCGTGGTTGACTATGGCCTAGTTACCCCTTACTTAGGGTAGGCTCCGAGCCCCTCGGTGAGGACATATAGTGAACTGGTGATGATGATGATGATGATGATAATAAAGCGTAAACACACGCTTTGTTGCCTAAGATGTCAGCAATCACAGCATATTTTCGAATAACTCTTTTTTTAATAAAAAGCCCTACACTTACGTCACGCCTTAGGTTATATATTTTCACGCTTAAACTTAGGGGTAAATATTTTGGATAAAAACCCTAATGTGGGAAAGACGCCATAAATTGTTGCCAACATCAAGAAAGCAAGATTGTTAAGTTTTGTCATGTTATGTCATTTTGACGTTTGCAATTGTCGCATGGGAACAGCTAGTTGTTTATAACCGTTAATTACTGTTTGATTAAATATTGTAAACTCACGTCAATGATCTTCGCAACGAATGTGTAACATCCTTCAACATCTGGCCAAGCGAGTTGCTGCCAGAATATCTTGATCTGATAGAAGATAGCCAGCGTGTCCACCCCTGAACTGCTGTACTTCACGTTAGTGTCCACCGGTACTAGGTTATCTATCTCTACTGCCTTTTCTATACGAGAAAGTGCTTTAAATGCGGCTATATCCAACCACTGTGCAACTCCTCCGTAAAACCAAGAGTGGAACTTGGATATTGAATATGTACCCCAATCGGTTTCGTTCAAACCTTGGCCAAGACTGAAAAGTAACAAGTTTTTTTTTAATATGTTGCAATCGGAAGAAATCAATTTGAATTTAAGTCATAATTAGAACACAAGCGACGCCAAGCGACTTGCTAGAGAACTTGAATCATTCTAAAAATAGGGATCGTTGCGAGAACACTGTTTGAACGTTATGAACTTTGTAGATCTATGAAATCCTGACTCTCAGTCAGGATTTCAGTATGGTGAATGTATTGTATTGTAATGCACATATGATTTCGAATAGTAGTAATTCTGATATCGTGCTAACTCAAGCCGTTAAACATAAAGGATTTTCAAAGGCATTTAAAAAATTGATAACAATGTTATCATATTTTAAGGCAAAATGATTATAAAATTGTTTAAACTTACGCTAAAAACCTCTGTAACGTTAGATACAGTTCGAAAAGTGTGGTTCCCATAGTCAATGGCTCGTTACTAACTCGCGGCGCTCCGAGCGGGGTGTCCCCGTTCAGGCCACCGGCCAAGTGCACACTGTTTGTTGACCCTTCATTGTACTGCAGCCGCTTAAGGCTCTTACACACTTGGATCACTTCAGGCTCAACCAACGAAGCTATCTTATTCTCGTATACACCGTATAAGATTTTAGAATAAGGAAAACTCATCACTCTGTAATGAAAAGAAATAAATAAATTCCACTCCTTTGAGAAGACTATGGTCTTTTGATTATTTTTAAACAACATTACTCACTCTATGAAGACTCTATCGAAGTATTCGACTGCGCGCTGCAGGTCTGAACGCACCAACTGTATAACCCTGATCAAATGCTGCAACCTCGAGTCCTCAGTCCGGTCTTTGCATTCGTTATTGTCTAATATATGGACGAACCAGTCCGACGCCCCTTGCACCGCCGCTTGGTGTAAAACTTCTTGGATTGACAACTTCGTACCATCGTCAGCGTCCCTCAACCAGCCGTACAAATTAACGGGGAACAAGTCCAGTGATTCCGGCACGTCGAGGACAGAAAGGCGATAGAGGACCTTCAGAACTTCTCTGAGGGTCTTCATCACAGTCTTATCACCGGCAGTCTTCTTTCTCAATTTCCTAATGTGGCTGTAACAAGTTGGGAGCAACTTCTTCGCACCGTCCCAGAATAGCTTGACGTCCTCTTCATTGACTAGACCTGGAATGCATGTTTTTAATTACTTTTTTAAAACTTTGAAAATATACATTTCATGAGAGCCTTGGCTCCTGCACTAGGTTCCCTTGTGCTGCAGGAGCCAATCCCTTTCCCCATTTGTGAATAGCAATACATATTCTTAAGTGTCTAAATAAAATATCAGATAATATGACGTTCTCTATGAGATAAGCCATCATTGTAAGAATCAGAAAGACTGGCTACTATGAGTCTTCTCCAAAACAGAGATGTTGTTGAAAACTTACCGGCCTGCAAAGGTTTTGTGACTTTTTCCAGCAGCTGATTGAAGAGTGCGAAGCTAAGAGGGTGGTTGGTAGTGACTGCGCAGTAGACCGTCCACTGCGCCAGCCAGTTGTCGGTCTGGCTGAGGCCGCTCTGCGCCGCATGCTGCGTGAGGATAGCCTCGGCGGGAGCGCTGAAGTTACCGCACCACCAGTACGGCGCCACCTAAGAATTTCATTAAAATACAATAAAACATCCACATCAAAGAACAACTGATGAAAAGACTGAGTGAGATAACGTGTAGACATATCTCATAGAAGACAAGCAGAAACTTAAAAAACCTACATTATTCTTTGCTCTACTATGATATACAGAAGTCTCACCCCGACTTTTACCTTTAACCCTTGTCTATTCTTTACTCTGTTCTACAAAATACTGAGGACTAACAGCTTTTTTCTGCGAATACCTGTAAGTAATAACGTATTTTATCCTATAGGAACTTACCTTTGACGTTTCAAGCTCGTGCAACAGCAGAATCCTGAGCAGATGTCGGTGCTCCTGCGAGGCGACCTGCGAGTTCTTCTCCGCGGAGAAGTTAAGCCGTAACTTGACCACGCCTTGCCGGCGCAGCTTGCTTTTCTTACTCAGATTGAACCACATCGTCATACCGCCTGCTGGGATTGACTATGAGAAGAACAACAATTAGAACACGTAAATATATAACAAAATACTATAAGTCATGTTCAAAAGAACGATGTTTCCTTAAACATGGATATGTGTTAACGCACCTTTAGTGGAATGTTGGATGTTCCGATAAGTTCATTGTCGTGTTTCCCTGTAGAGGCAGTGATAGCGATCTCCTTCATCAGCTTACGCAGACCCTTTACACCTTTCACTTCAAATATCTTTGTCATCTTTTCTTTTACCGTCTCTGCTGGGTCGAAGTCCCTATAAAAAATTAAGAAAAAAAACAGTTCAACTAAAAATCAAACGTCAATTCAAAAGAAATAAATCCAAGGATTATAACTTACCATACTTCTAAAATCAATGAATCTTCGTGCAGATTTGACGGCATAGGTCTGAAATAAGAGAGTTTAACTATGATTTTTTATTGTCCTCTTACGATACAAGAACATGTTTTGTATCTCTTTCAAAGAGCATGAGAGATGATGTGTTTTTACACATGTTTCTGCAATCGAGACTCATTTATAGTCCAAGCGGAACCAATCGATGTGTTAAAACAAAACATAGCGAAGCCAATACAATCTGGCATCATCAAGGCCTGCTGTGCCATTTGCTATTGCAATCGTAAATGTTTTAGTACTTGTTATACTAACGATTAGTCTTGATGTTGTGCGACTTGTTAATGTATTGCTGATACATAAGCTGACTGACTACAGCAGTTTTAGAAATTGTGATTTATATCTCAACTAGCTTTCGCCCGCGACTCCGTCCGCGTGGAATAAAAAAAAACAAAACTGAGTAGCCTATGTGTTCTTCGAGACAATCCTTTACGTCTATGCCAAATTTCATAGAAATCCGTACAGCCGTTTAGGCTACAAAGTCTAACAAACATCCATCCATCTAAACTTTCGCATTTATAATATTAGTAAGAAGTAAGATTATAGTTAGTATAGTATTAGTATGATTGTAGGATTAGTATGATATGATTAAAAGTGATTTTTTTTTAGGTTTTTATACTTACAATGAAAAATGTTCCTCCCATGAGGGGTTTAGAGTGCCCGACTTCACTGACGTATTATACCTATGTGACGAGTTTGACATCAAATATATCGTCACAAACGGGTCGCTGAGTCCATTCGGATCTTTAGGTACCAAATCCTTTGCTTCAACAACTTCTACATTCAGCATTAACTCCGGCGGTTCTTTAGCCTCTGCTTTTGTCAATAATTCTGTGTGTTTGTCGTTGGCGATTTTGAAGGCCTCCTGGACGTATGACAGCATTGTCTGCTGCCCCACCTCGCAGCCCATGTCGCAGCCGCCCACATTGTGTAAGATCTCATACAATACTTCCAAGTATAATTCATCCACCTGGAATTATACAATTACATTACAACAAACAGATCTATAGCACGACGGAGGACCGCATTCTGCGGAAGGCATTAGGGAAGATCTATGTCCAACAATGGGCAGACAAAGCTTAATGATGATAGCTTACTCTAAACTTTTTATCGGACTTAATAGTATGCAGCAAAATTCATACAACTCTTACGTTGCTAATTTCTATGCAGTGCCTACCCAGAGGAGGCAAAACTAATGTGCGAGCTATTGATGGCACGCGATACATATTTTGACCAAGTCACTGATCGACAGAATTTATTATGTGCTACAAAATGTATCCAATAATCACAATATGATTTTTTTGCTGGCACATAAATTACTGCAATAAACATTAATTTAAATGTTTGTCACCCCTGACCTATATCATATTATTCCTAAAAGAGAATACGATAGCTTATTCACGTCATGGAAATATGACGAAAATCACTTTAAAAACAATATAACGTGTTTAAACTGTAAAGCCTAAATATTTTTTTTTCTAAGTAAGGCGGGATTACTTAGTAGACAGGTGTTAGAAAGGTCAGTGTACATTAACTTTCAAAGTTTACATGAAACATGGATATTTATGGATAACAGCACGTTCGGATGTATTGCTTACCGAACACGCGAAACGGTACTTAGTAACCATAATTTAAAATAACCTACGATAAAATTTTAAATAGAAACATCTATACACGAGATGTATATGACAAAAATTTAAGTTAAGAATCCATTTAAAACACAAAAAAATCTAAACAAGAGATCGCTACAAAAGTCCTAAAATAAGAAATAATTATAATATTCTCCAATTCCTTATTGCAGTTTACACACATTTAGAGAAGCAGCGATGAAAATATTACGTATATTACCAAAATAGTAACATCAATACTGAAAATTAATAATTCAGTAGTCAGACTTCTTACACGGATAAAAACTTCTACTTATTTACAAAACTAAACTTACAGATGACTCATAGTAGTAAAACAATTTCATTGACCGCTAAAGCACTAAAAAATGCAAATATACCACCAAAAAACGTACAGCCTTTTGACCAGGCACGCAACGAATGAATAAAATGCATTCATAGGGGTTGTTTCTATTACCCTGCTAAGAGAAAACCCAACCATTTTAAGTCAATCCATATACTGTAACAATTTCTTCGTAACATCATACACATATTGGTAGGGTTATAGCCTATCGTGGAAATCATATCGATCTAATGCCAAGCTGGTTTTGATTAGTTGCCCCAGTTACATTGCTTCATAATATAACATTGTGTTTGTTTACTAGAACATTAAACGGTTAATGTAACTAACACAGATTTTAATCATCTTATCAAACGATCTTAATTAACTGTGGCGAGTTTTGTAAACGCTGGTATTTTCCCACAGTTATGTCTACGTAAACTTGCAACTTAAAAAATGAAAATAAGTTATTTACTTTAGGTATTTAAGTTTAAATCTCAAATATTCTAAAGATATAAACATATCTATCTACAATATTTAAACCAAAACACCAAATGCCGTAGAACTCTCACATTTCATTAAATGTTTTATTCATTCAAGCCTTCGCGCATTTTTCTTATATAATAGGAAATTGACTTTTATCTCCTAATCCTCTACATATGTGTCACTTTGATTTGTTATAAATCTAAGGGGATAAAAACGATGAACCTGTTTCCCCCATTACTCACTCATCATCTTCCTCCTTATCCTTCTCCCATATATCGGCACATAACTCTGTACCTCATCTCAGTTATCACTCCCTTCTTGATTATGTCATCTTTCAAGCAACCCACCCATCTCTTTCTAGGTCTACCTCTACCGGTGTACCTCCACACTCACAACTAACGTTCTGCTTGTTACATGCGATTCATGCCTTTATTCACTTCTTGTTATATACTGCGTTTTAAAACGAAATAAATGCACATTTTACGAGCATAAGATGCAGATTCGGTGGGATTATTTTTAAAATGTGAACTCATTTGTCATTCAAAAACAGTCAGTAACGTATGGGATGCTATTGTATATCAAACTAAACACATACAAACGGATCTATTAATTGCTATAACGTCAATCTATCTGGTACGGTGTTATATACAGCTAAATATGTTAACCACCAACTTCACAGTACATATTCTGTAATTTGTTCCTTACGCAAATATTGACAAAACATCCTCTCTTCCATATAGTTATTTAATGTGGTTAACGATTTTCCCAAAGTTAGAAAACTGACGAAGATCTAGCGAGCCAATGTATTCTGACCCAGTAAATAAAAAAATGTTCTGCTTATTTTCGTCATTTGATATCTAGACTTCATACGATCAGACCATTAACCACTGAACTATTTACAAAAAAGGTTGTTGTATTATAATTGTTTTATTTATTATACCGCGTATTTCAACTGCATTTAAACTTCTACATTAACATATCGTCATCTCTGCCATTATCTTAGAAAAAAATAGAGATAAAAACGTTTTAGTACAGTTTGTTGAACAGTTATATCCCAAGATATAACAATTACTAGAAGCGTCACTTTTTGACCGACTTCCCAAAAGAAGGAGGTACTCAATTCGTCTGTATGTTTTTTTTTTTATTTTATTTTTTTTTTATGTGTGTTACGGCAT